GGCCGGCCCCCGGCTCCGCTGCTCGCCAATACCGCTGGCAGTAACCCCTTTCTCTTCCCTCCTGTTCCCGAGCAGGCTGCGGCGAGCTGGTGTGGGTGGGGGAGCCCGTCGTCTTTGGCCGGGCGGAGTCCATCGCTGGCAAGTACGGCGTGTGGATGAAGGACCCCGAGCCTGTGCCCCCCTTCACGCGGGAGACCACCTGGCGTGTGGACACGGTGGGCACGGAGGTCCGTCAGCTCTTCCAGTATGAGGCAGCCGAGCAGCTGGCCCGGGGCTACCCTGCCAAGGTGCACATCCTGCCGCAGCCTTTGGAGAGCACGGGGGCCGTCATCTACCGCGGGGGGCTCTTCTTCCAGCCCCGCCGCTCCCGTGCCGTGGCTCGCTACGACCTACGGGGAGAGGCCCTCACGGCCGAGAAGGAGATCCCTGGCGCTGGCTACCATGGGCAGTACCCCTACTCCTGGGGGGGCTACACTGACATCGATCTGGCGGTCGATGAGAAGGGACTGTGGGTGATCTACAGCACCGAGAAGGCCCGGGGGGCCATCGTCCTCTCCAAGCTGAACCCCGAGACGCTGGAGATCCAGCGGACCTGGGAGACGAACATCCGCAAGCGGGGGGTGGCCAACTCCTTTGTCATCTGTGGCACCCTCTACACTGTCAGCAGCTACTCGGCACCCAATGCCACCATCAACTTTGCCTATGACACAGCCACCGGCACCAGCCGGGCTCTCAGCATCCCCTTTGAGAACCGCTTCCGCTACCTCAGCATGGTGGACTACAACCCTGCTGAGCGGCAGCTCTTCGCCTGGGATAGCTTCAACATGGTCACCTACCCCATCCGCCTCTCCCATGCGTGAGCCGGGGCTGGGGCCACACCAGCTCAGCCCCTGCGACCCCCACGCATGCCTCGGCACCCCGCTTAGCTCCCCAGCTCCCACCGGCAGAGCCAGGAGCATCGCCTTAGGCAACCCCGGGCAATGTTGGGGGCCACACACTGCCCAGCAACACCACAATGGGGCCACCGCTGTCCTTGCTGGCACCTCCAGCAATATCCTGTTGTGCTCGAGTGCAGTAGAGGGAAATGAAGTGCTTCTCCAGAGTGCAGTCAAGCCAGAGAAATCTCTCCCTGGCTTTGGAAGGGCTACAGCAGTACCCAGCCCCAAGCCACTCCAGCATCCCCCAGAAGTACCCGTCCCAAATTCGGAGCAGGGAGGGCTCAGGAATAGTGATGTCCAGGCAGGGCAGGCAGGGGAGGTGCATAGAAGCTGTCTGGAAGGGTTAGGGTTTGTGTTCTCAGGTTCTATCCGAGCACAAGTACCACTGCTGCCCCCCCCAGCAGCAGCAGCTTTGGGGAGGCCTCTCCACTTCAGGCCAGCCTCACAGAGAAGAGCAGCATTTGCCTGCCAACAGCAGCCCCCCAGAGCTGAGCTCCCTGGCTGAGAGCCCCCAAGCCCCACCACATCCCACACCACCGGTGCCCAAGGGCATCCCAGAGCTCAGCCACCTCCAGAAATCACCTGTCAGGAACAAAAGCAGCGGGGAAAATGGATGCTTATTGTGCAAGCCTTGTTTTATTGGGGAAAAAAAGTCATCAGTGGTGAGGAGTGCTGGCAGCGCATCCAGCAGCCCCTTGGTGTGCCCAGCCCCTCTTGGCAACGTGCTTTGGCTGTATTTGCCGTGCCTGGCTACCAACGCAGTGGCATTGCTCCCCCCATTGGGCCAAAACACACCAGTTTAACTATTTATTGTAGAAAGTTTGTAGGAGGCTTTTTCTTCCTCCTCTCCCGAGCATTTGGGGCAGAGGGAGCAATATCCCCTGGGGATGTGCAGGGACCCAGCCCAATAAACGCTGCTGCCATCACCACCACTGCCTTGGTCTCTATCTTTCCCGAGCCCAGGTTATCCTGGGAGTTTGGTGGGCTGAAGCCTGGGGGGAGTGTGAACTGCTGCTGCCTCTCCTCAAGGCACTGATGAGCTGAAGGTGCTGGTGGGGGTGAAGCTGTAAAGCTTTGGCTAGGAAAATGCCACATTTGGGAGGCAGCTGCTGACAGGGCTCACCCAGGAGCACCTTTTTTTAGCGTGAGGAGGGGCTGTGACATGCCCACAACATTGACGCAGAATGAAAGTTAAAGGTTCAGCGTTAAACCCCACAGATTTGCCAAACAGGAAAGATGAGAGAGCTCCAGGTGGCAGGGCTGCGGGACAGGCTGCCCAGCAGGGCAGAGAGAGGCAGTCCCCCGTTTGCTGCCGCAGCGCTGGGTTGTTTGTCTGCTTACTGAGGGGATGGCACCACTCAGAACCAGGAGGCTGCAGGGATGGGCCCTGGCTCAGAACCAATCCTGTTCTAGAAGGGCTGGAGACAAGATGCTGCTGGCAGCAGGCAGTACATACTCCTCCATGGTGAGAGCTGTCCCAGTGAGTCCAGGAGGGGGAACTGGGAAAAGACCCTGCCCAACCACCAGGATGGGCTGTTCTAGCCCATCCACAGCAGGATAGTGTTGGATAGGACATCCCATGGGGGACTGACAGGGGGATGCAGGGTGGGATGCCAGCCCATAGAGGCAGGAGGCTAAAAGACCTTTTTGCACTCCCCGGCAGGCCTTGGGATGCTCCCTGGGCCAGCGTGAGCCAGGGCAGCTCCCTGCCCCGATACGCACCTGAACCGCCAACGTCGTGCAGCCTGGCAGCCCCAGGACCTGCAGCAATGCTCCACTGCCCCCTGCTCCCGCCTGTTTGTGACATGTTAGGACTCGTGTCCTTGTGGCTGTGAGGCTCAGCCCGAGTCAACTGGCAACACATTCACCCTCAGCCACACCACCTTCTGCCAGCCCAGGGCCCCTCACCACCTGGAGCTGTATCACCTACATACTGCAGGGGGTCGTGTGCTGCACTCTGGTCCTTACAGGGTGCTGTAGGCTGTGCCCCAGGAGGACACATTCCCCACCCTCCTGCTGGGGGTTGGTGGTGCCCCTGCCGTAGACCACAGCCCCACGTCCAGCTGGGCTCTGTACAAGGACAGCACGTGTCTGCACTGAGCTGGTAACCTTGGTCCCACACCAGGGAGCGGGCACCCACTGCAACAGATTGCGGCTGCTGCAAAGAACTGGGGATGTGTTACAGGCTCACCTGGCCCCAGAGAACATCTGTGTGTGCACCTGCCCTGGGGAGCAGCCTCATCCCTGCAGCATCCCTCTGTCCTGCTGCAGAAAGCCATCTGGGGGGGGCAGCTGTCCAGGCCCTGGTGTGAAGAAATAAGACAAAGGCCTAAGGCAGTAAAGCTGGGGGTGAAGGTAGCTGTGGAGGTCACTGTGGAGCAAGCAGGAGCTGTCATGTACCCACTGGGGCCAGGAAGAGGGCAGCAGGCAGGTGGCAGCCCCAGGCTGCACGCCCCTGACCCGAGCCAGACAAGGGCAGCCTGGCAAGCAGCCACTTGCCCAATGCACCGAAAACCCGCTGCTGAGGATGGGAGAACAGCATTTCTGTCCCAAAACAGGATGGAGCCGCAGCTCCCTGGAGGCACGACTCGAGCCCCAGCATGAAAGGGAGGGCTTGTTCAGAGGTCCCGAAGGAGCAGCAGCTCCATTGGCTCCTCAGGGAGCAGAGCCACCAAGGGCAGACAGCCCCAGCCATTCCCACCTTCCAGCTTGCTGGCAGCACTGGGGTCTTTCCAGGCTGGGAAGTCCATCACTTAATTGACTATAGAAAATAAATGAGGACAAGCCAATGTACACAGGATTTCCAGAAAGCTTGGCTGGAGCTGAACAGTGCTGAATACACAGCTTTACTTAACAGGCTTTGCAAAAACAAGCCCTGAGAGTCCCTCCCCGCCCACATCCCAGCAAGAAGCCGGCCTTGCTGGGGTTGTTGGAGCTGGCCCCAGTCACTATAACCCCCTTTTGCTCTTGCCCTTGAGAGAAGTTACAGTTGCTTTGCATAATGAGAAATTAGCATTCTTAAGAAACAGACAAAAAAAAGTAAACTCCTCAAACAAAAGTTCCCTAATTTATGGGAGGTTCAGCACAATCATTTGTGACAACCAGAGTCCTAGAAAAGAGATTACACACCAAATCCCACTCAAATTAAAAAAGCAAGATGTATTCCAGCATCAATGGCCAGAGGCAACTTATCTGGCTACATATCATAAGAATATTCAATGAACTGGGGTCAGTGATTGAAAGCTCAACATGGCCTCAGAGGCAGCCAGAGTGGTTTTGGGGATACATCCAAACCGGGTTATTTGGATGCACAAGATGTCCAAGCACTTGCTTTTAATTAAGTTTCTGTAGAAACATTATCCTTGTTCTGCTCAGCATAAGAAATAGCTAAGAGCCTGGTACATTCTTACAGCTGACTGTGGGAAATCCATCTGCCTTTTCTAGTGGCTTTACTGGAGAATTTAAAGATTGATCCTTTCAGCAGCATTTTCTTAAAACCAGAATATTCCAGTGTACCGTTTTCCATTTTTAGGGGTTCTTTCCCCTATGAACTAGGCAGAAGACACCTCAAAACAGGGCAACACCAGCATAATTCAGTTACTCTTTCATAGCACATTCTTTAATCAAACCAATGTCTAAATTCACTCATCACCCCTACCTTCAATCCTCCTTTCCCTAAGGGTTTACCATAGCTGTGCTTGTTCTGTTCCTGTAAAAAAGGCCATTTACCCCTGATGTTACCTCCTTCGATGTTCCTTCTGTCCATCACTTCATTTGTGGATTACAGCACCTTTCTTCATTCCATATTGCTGCTGTTCCACACCCTAAAAAAACCCCACCTCAGCAGCAAAGGACTCCAGCTCTTCTGGTGCCCCCAAATCATTGCTTCCTGCCCAGACAAGCGCAGGCAGGTTTGACTGCTCCCACCCACTGCAGGGCTGGCAGCAACACCCCTGGCCTAGAGGCAAACCAGCAGTTGCAGAGGCACCCCAGCACCCCCAGCTGGCTTTCCTTTCTTTGCATTTGGAGGCACAATGGCAGCCAGCACCTTCCACCAAGGCAGGAATTACTTCTCAGAACCAAACAGGAGGTTTCTGGTGTTACACATCAAGTTCTTTCTGGTGCCTGCTGACAGCATCCTGCCTCACAGAGTGGCACAGCCCCAAGGCTGACGAGAGGGAAGGGTCCTGTGTCCAGGGGAAGGCTCACGTCATGGCTCACTCCTGCAGAGGACCTCTTGCTTCCGGCAGGCCTCGTTGCGAGGCTGCCCATAGTCACCCGCTGGCTAAAATGAGAGTGACCAGCTGGGCCCATCCTGGTCTCCTCTGATGAGTGGCTCTTCTCTTCTCGAGGACACAAAACACAAGTCTCCAGCACCGGGCAGCTCACTGACACGCCGGAGATGTCACGTCTTGCAAAGGCAAACGGCAGGCTCCTTCCAGAGCTAGATGGAAGCCGTGTCCTGAGAGACCTTCGCCGCAGCACGAGATCAAAAGTGCTGGGGGAAACAAGTGAGCTGTTTCAAAACCATTTTTCTTCAGAAGTCTGTTTTCCCAGGCTGTAATACACACTCTTCACACGATGTCGAGGTGCTCTCCTTGCCTCCTGCAGCGCTGTGCTAATCATGAGATTACCCGGATGCTTTATTTAGAGAATACTTTATTAGTTTCTGTAATCAAACCCATGTAAATAAGACCGTACATATTTAATACAGTGCGTTACCCCTGTACAAATGGAAAAAAAAATTAAGTTTAACATTTCTAGACCAATATGGCTGTTAATTTCTGTACAATGCCAACTCACACTACAAGTGGGATACTTTTTTCCAAAGTTGACATCACAGCTAAAGTTTCCAAATATCCAAATTATATATATATTTATATAAAAAGATAACCAATAGCAATTCACTAAGCATCAATAGCAGCAACAGCCTTTCCAGCTTCTGCAATCATTTGAACAAAATTATACACATTAGACTTTCAACTCACTCTTCCTCTCAAAAAAAGTAAAAAAAAAAAAAAACAAACAGCAAATTCTGCTATGGATGTGGTACCTGGTGCTTTTTATTAGCTTTTTCAATCATTGTCTGGAAAAAAACCTCTAGAATAACATTATTAAAAACAGCTCCAGTATAGCACAGTCACTACTACATTTCATAAGCAGGTACAGGATATCTTACATTCACAGAAGTATCATACAGTACTGTCCTACAGCTATAATACTAGAGGATACAATTAAAAAGGCATTTATTTGACTTGATTCTACTTTCCAGCACACCGTGGGCAAGGAGGTGGTGTGACGCAGCTCTGATATAAAGAATGCACCTTTTAGAGAAAACTCTCTTTAATCCCATAAGGTTTCTTTTATTCTCGTGGCACAGTTCTAAGTGCTCGTTGCTGTATACAGACATAAGCTGGAAACCGTTTGAAGATCACTCGCATCATATAAAGAAAGCTGGACAGAGGTGAAGAGAACAAATCTGACTATTGATGCAATGAACCTTTCAACTCCAGAGGTGAACAACTCAGAGGGGAGCGGGTGTAGAGAACACAGTGGCCAAGTAGCATTTTCATACGGTGATCTAAATACACTATATTGTCACCCAAGAAGCCGCAGCTAGCAAAGCACTGCCTTCCGAGGGGAACTCAACATCATCGGCATCACTCTGGGTTAGGTTACAGGTCACATGGCAAAGGCAATTTCGCCAGCTATATGAACCCCTCTGTTTATCACAAGATAGCTTCTTAAGTCACTACATCTTAACACATGTTACTTGGCCCAGCACCATCTTCAGATCTGCATGTTCTCATACTCATGGGTTTATAAAAAGATAAATAGCAGCTGAAGATCAGAGCCTGAAGAAAATAAGAATATTCATCTTGTCGGCTAGAAACATGCCTCCCCAACCACCTTCTTCCCCGACGCTGCTATTTCTTAATTTTTTTCCCACTTTGGGAAGCATACAAGTGTGTAAGACAAAACACGCGCACACGTGTAGAACGTGCACAGACCAGAAGCAGCATCATGCTGTGAGAGAAGATAAAAGCCCAAAGAGCCCAGAAGCTCAGCTGGATACACAGCAGTTTGCATCCGTAACTGCTGAGAGCTTCTAAGTCCCTTTATGCTGTTCAAGGCCCTGCAGGGAGAGAAGACTGTTGTCTCATCCTTTGGGCTACAAATTCATGCTGCTGTCATCTCACCCACCCTCTCCCTCCTCCCCAGAAACACAGCCTCTAAGACTTTGTTTCTTCAGTTTTGATTGCCTGAGGTTTGATTGGTCCAGTTCTAACAGGTTTTGTGGCTGCAGCAGGCGCGGGGGTCGGTTTCTCCTCGGTTTTGTCCGGGCAGACTCCTGAGGAGTCGGCAATCGCCTCGGTGGGTTTGCTCCCGCCGTTCTCCTCTACTTTCTGAGCTTTGCCTCCTATGGGTTTGCTCTGCTGCTGCTGCTGCTCAGAAAAGAACCTCTGGGTGGACTGAAGGACCTCTGCTCTTTGCTTTGCCTTAAGAAAGGGAGAAAATATGTTTACTGAAGAGAGAGCACTGGAACAAGAGTGACTTTACAGAAGTATTTCGTAAATTAAAGAGGAAGGACTGACTGCAGCAGCCAGACCTTCCTAGAAAGGCAGTGTCCACCCAGTTGCTTCCCAGATGTCACCACATCCAGGTGCTTGGCTCCCCAGCCGTAGCTTAACATCACACCTAGGCTTCCCTTGCTCTTCCTAATTTCCACCACAGAGAAGACAATCAAGGACACCAGTTTGAAGCATTATCTAACATCTTTTCATGCTATTATTGTTGCAGAGCTTAAAAAGTAGGAACCCTGCCTACACCAGGCTCAACCAAAGCTTCACTCCTCAGCACGAGGCAGGCATGAGGAGCAGGCGCCCGCGTCTGGGCACTGCCTGAGCCCTGGCACTGCTGCTGGCACAGAGGGCCTTGCCAGCTGCTGCTGCTCCTGCCATGTGCTCCGGACTTGCTGAGCACAGGGGCTCTGTCACAGCCGCAGAATCTGGTCTGAGCACCTAAATTTCCCCCCGTTGTTCTAGACATGGACTTTTATAGAGTCTGCAATAAGGAAGCACCATGTTCAAGGTTACATCACATTATAGGCAGAAGCCTTATCTTCTTCCCACTCAAAGTGGACACTGATTCCAGGTAGCACAGACTACCACCTGGCTTCCTTCAAGTCCCTCCTCTGAATCCTACTGGTGACTTCAACTTGCACCTGTGAAATTCACTTTTTGTGACTGAAAGGTTTTGTCTGATCTGGAGCTCCAGATCAGACCTTTCACATGTCCATGAAACACTGTGTAGACCAGACGCTCTAGACCAAGCACCTGCGTTTCCTGCCCAGACTCAGGCAAAGTTGCATTAAGAGTTCAATCTTTTGGAAGCTGCACAATTAAGCTCCTTGCAGTCAAATGCCTATTTTAAAATATAAAAGGTATATCTTAATAAAAGGAACTCCAACTACAATACAGACACTAATCCTCCACATACCTCTCAAGCATTTTATGCCTTTTTTTTTTTAAATAGAACACAGGGCCAGAGAGGGGACAAAACAGCAAAAACCTAGAACAAGGCATCTTGGCTTTAATACTGTGTAGTTGCTCCAAGTAACTCAACCAGCAACAGAACAGAAAACAAACCTGTAAGCTCTGGTGTGCAGGACTGCAGCAACAGTCTGATTATACTGAGCCAGATGGACTCCTGAAATCTTTTGCATAGATTTCAGCCATCCCCTGAGGTTAAGGCTATAAGGCTGGATCACAAGTAACCGAGCGTGACAGAACAACTCACATTTTTCCCAAGAGCGTTTGCAGGGAGATTCAGAAAACCAGGACTGCATATTAGTATTTTCTCTGACTGGCTAGATTCAATTCATAATACATTGACTCAGGACAATATACTAAGCATCACCTGGGAAGTCTACAGGTGGTAGAAAACTAAACAGGCTAAATACCTAGAACTTAAGGGGTAATAAATTCTTCTACAATTGGACATAATCAGAAAGAGCCACTCTTGCTTTTATACCTCAATGCATGGGTCATGGGAAATGACAGTAGATGAAAGAGCTCTTTGGTACCATCTACTTATACAAACAACTTACTCTGAAAAAGGCTACATGACCAAAGTCCTGCCTTGGTAGGAATAGTTTGCCTCAGCCTGAAGGGTCCCAAAGTGCTTTAACAAGTTAGATGTCTCTCATCACCTGCTACTGAAACACAGCCACCTCTTCTGTGGAGCGTAGCACGTTACCGCATTCTATCACACAAGAATTAACTACAGGCATTACAAACCACCAGGAAATTAATCTCAAGAGTCACCAGGGAATGAAGCTAACTGGAACAGGAGGCTTCATACTGCTACTAAAGAGCTGGGGAGGCAGATGTGAAGTGACAGCTAGCAGCCAGGTTCGTAGACTTCCATCAGTCATTCAAAAAATCCAGGCTCTTGAAACCTAGCTGTCAGAGTGCCTTTGACAGCAGTGGCAGCTTCACAGCTGCTGAGCACAAGACCACTTGAGAAAGAAAGCTCCCTAAAGTTCTTAGTGAAAAAAACAGGACTCTGAGAAGGTCTGTGTTCAGCTGTTAAAGACCTGGCTACCAGCTTTGGGTCCAGAGGCATTTTAATTAAGACATGGTTCACAGACACATTCTTGCCCTACAAGCTGTCAAGACTGAACTGGTGTTAACAGCATTGCTGCCCAAGTACTAACCTTCATGTCTCGTTCAGCCTTCATCGCAGCCTGGGCCTGATTGCCTCTGGCTCCAGATACTGATCCACAAAGCCCTCTGGCCACAAGCGGTAAATGGGGGTGGCTCATAAGGCCTGTGGTCATCTGAGACGGCATCTGACTATGCAGTACTATTGGCAGCCTCTGAACAGGCGCTGGGAAGGTGTTAGTATATGGGGCTCTTACCAATGGAGGGAGCAGGTTAGGCTGAGAGAGGATCTAAGTGGGGGAAAAACAACAAAGAGACATTTTGCAATTAGAGAATTGCCAACTAGATTCCACGTTGGCGTTATCTTCAGGGGGAAAAAACTGCTGCTCTGCTGTCAGACTGATAGCATAAAAGCCTATTTTCTTGACAAGAGAGGCCACGCAAACCACAAGAAAAACACCCAGCCCTGTGGTGCTGCTGTGCCTGAAAGTAGTACCAACAACTGAAAACCAGCATGCAATAAGGGACAGGGCAGCAGAGGGGTCACCAGCGAAAGGCAGCCCTGGAAAGGCTACGCAGTTCCTGCTAGCGGCAATCCAAAAATCAAATCTCAAGACCTGCAGTCAAACACTCCAAACGCCAAAAGACAGACAAATACCCTACATTTTTACAGAGGCTGCATCTACAGTCACCTGTAACAGGCATGCACCATCCATGTAAGCTGTTCTCCCTGGAATGCCAGGAGCAATCAACCCCTTTGTCATCAGCCTTGCTTCACATGGACTGTATGACCTCTAAAGATCCTTTCCGACCTGAACTGCTCCATCAGTACTTCAGAGCTGCATCTCAAACAACTACACACCTGTTTTGTCCTTAAACATTATAAATATGCACTGGGACCCTTCTGAGACACAAAGCTTCTCCTCTTCCCCAGCCAAATGACCTGTTTTTCAGAGGTGCGTTACAGCTGCATGGGGAAGCCAGCAGATCAACCTCCTGTTCTACACCATTCAAAACTTGTATTAAACTCCTCAGTGTGCACAGAGCTTTCAAAATTAAACACACTGCAAAATCTGCACTACTAGTTAGCAACATCAGAGAGGTTCTGGGGAGGCTTTGATCCTGAAATCAGTTTTCTCACATCTTTTCATTGTAAAGGATTCCATTTTGTAGCTCCCCATGATAAAGGCTGAGGAAATAGCTGAGTTAGAGTCACCAGGTCATAGAGAGAAACAGATTTGTTCATAAGAAGCCACCGTTCACCTACCTGTGGTGCAAATTGTGCTGGAAATGGCTGCGTCATTCTCACAGCAGCAGCTGCTGACTGAAACTGCTTCTGGTAGACGATGCTGTTCATTTTATTGGACTGATTGTTTGGACTTGTAGAACTGGCCCTAAAGAACAACACCAGTTAGCATCACACTGCTCTTATTCAGAGGATGTTTCTGCCTTTAGTTACAATTTAGCTAATTCAGCATTAGCAGGGGAAAAAATAATCTCTTGTACAAGCTAGTAGATACAGAAGAATATCTGATGCCGTTAGATTCAAATTCAAACTCACTCAGAACTTAAGAATACAAAGAGACACCTTCCTCAGAAATATTTAGGATATGGAAAGATTCCAGGGTAGCCTCTGGGTGAAAGAGAACTTTCTCAAAAGTATTCCTAACAAATGTTGATGTGTATTCCTCTTTCCATTCCTGTTGTCTTACATTCAGTCCTACTCCATTACACTGTTTGCACTACCATATGAAGTTCAGAGCTTGTCACAACAGGCATTAAGCACGTGCAGCAGAAGCCATGTGCAGCTGCTTCCACTCTACCTGTTGTTAAATGTTTCAAAATGCACTTGAATAGATCTCAAGAATTCACAGAAAACACTCTCCCCCTGTTTTATTTGGCTAAGAACATGACCCACCATTAAAACTTTTCAGAGGTATGGAATCACCACGAATTAAATGAAGCCTGATGAGATTATCTGAGAAGGGCACCAAACAGGCCTCAGAGAAAAGAGTGAACGGCCTTCTTTAGGAAGAGTTCTTATGCCAAGTGTGTGGCTAATACACTTCCTTTACATAAAATGAGCAGTGGGGCACCAACGCTAAGAAGGCCATCTAAACACCAACACTTTGTAAGCTTACACTAATCTGTTCAGTTTTCACTTGGAACTACTGGTATCTATTACACTTTTTATCTTCCCAGATCTTAAGAGGAAAGCTTATGATAAACCCTGCTTTGGTTGCTAGAAAAGACATCTTACATGGAATCTCTAAGATACACACCATCAAGACAACTGTCCTAAAAGCTGGCTAGCTTGCAAATTCAAGTTTCGCCTTCCTCATCCCTTCACTTTTTTCTTAGCTGAAGTACTGGAGGCACAACTTCAGCATTGAGTTCAAGACCTCATTTACACCTCGCTAGAAAAGCCTGAATGCTGTCAGGCTGCTACAGTGAGAGCCACCATATACAGTTACCATGCATGGGAGCACAGCTTTCAAGAGCAAAAGCATCTTGTAACAAAGTTCCATTTTAAAGTTTCTTCAGCCCACTAATAACTATCCACAAGCAACCCAACAGGTTTACCATGAGCAAGATGCTGTTAATTCTTTCAATTAACCAAGCAAACCTGCAAACAGCTCTCTAATTTCACTTTTGAGAAGCTTATAGTTCTTGCTACCATTCTTAGTTATCTAGCAGAATTGCTGGCACAGCTGTGGTGTAAGTCTTAAAAGTGTTTTTACTTTGAGCACCACAATTAAGATAAACTGTCTTAGAGTTTTAACCCAACATACATCTTCCCTACCACTTCTGTGTTTTCATGGTACAATCCCAGGTCATTTTACATAACACTAGTTTCATCTAAGATTAACTAAAAAATGTTTTACTTCTAGCCAACTGTAGCAGATCTGACAACTACTGGAATGCTGCTTTTAAGCTAAGATTAAGCATTTTATTTTGTCTTAGCAGCCCCTCACCTCATACCTTTCAGAACTGGTTGCTCATGCATGACTAGGTACATTTCCTAGATCAGATTTCAAGGAATTTTAAGCTTAACAGATTTACCGGAAAGGACTGGAGGTTGGAGTAGTACTTCTACCAGTAACGGGCGGCGTTCCAGGTTTAACATCAATGCCGCCTCCGAAGGCCTTCAAGTCCATTTCTGATATCTGAAAAACACAGCAACAGACATGTTAATTCTAACTCAAAGAAAAATTACATTTACTAAGCAACTGTTAGCTTACCTCACATTTTTCTCAATGAAAACAGGTCACTTAGGTGGAGGTGAAAGCCAGATTGCAAAATGGTTTATTAGGGCAACCCCAGTACCACAAGCACCTCTGTGCATGATTTTCCTGCACTATTTGACACTTCCAGCAATGGTACTAGCTTTCTAACTTGATCTTCCTGCATAATGAAAGAGAATTCATGACTCACTTCACATATTTTGCCCTAAAAAAAAAAATAAGTGCTTCAGAGTTGAAATTCCTTTTCCCAGCTCAGGTACCACATGAAAACATTCAGATATAGTCCTGAAAAATGCTGAAGTGAAGAATGCCATAATATAATTCAGTTCTATTAAAAAACCAAACACACAGCAAAAAGGAGCTGTCTTTCATGCAAAAAAGTCTCTAGACTTTACTTGGAGCAATTAATTTTGTATCTTATTTCAGGGATACACTCAGAATAAATTAGTCTCTGGAACAGTATCTTTCCAGACATGGTCGCAAAGCATAACAGCGACAATAAATGAGTTAAAAGTTGAGGGGATGTTTTAAGTTGACTTTCTTTAGCAGGAACAAGATGGAACCCTTAACAGGGCAGGAAAATCACCTAAGGCCACCATCCCACTGCAGTTGTTATTCACTTCTTGTTGAAATGAGTTCTTTTCCAACAACAGTATCAAGAAATAGGCTGCTGTTTGGAAGATGGGCTCATACAAATTACAAAGCTGAAAAGGTTTGGCCAGAACCTATGAAGCTACAAAACTGCATGGAGCAAAAATTACCATATACTCTGATGGATGACAGGATGAAAATCTCATCTAGATCTGAAATTCTGGTTGCCATTACTGTCCAAGACATGTCCCCCCTGAGAGAGATTCTTCTTATAGCAGCTGTAAACCATTATGAAAGCAGAATCATTTTATATTCAGAAGCACCTTAAAACTGAGGCCATAAGGATTTCCAGTGCAGCTCCAGAGCTAGGTTAGTCCCTGCAGTGAGGAAAGACCTTGCTGTATCTGACAGAAAGCTCAGCTGTGTTCATGTCCAGTATTGTCACCCACTGCTCACCTGAAAGTATGCTGCAACTGTGTTGTGCTGCACACTATCCAAAAATCCCAGGTGCCTGTATATCAGTAATTCCATCTAAGACAAGAGACTTTGTGACTGGAAGCCAGATCCACACAGCCCCTCATCAGCAATTACCACAGCAGCTCCAGATAAGGGAGAGACAATTCCCTCTTAAGTATTCAAGCTTCTTGCACTATATATCAGTGTTATCTCCTCACTGGAGCTGCCACTCAGGTAGTTTTCCTCAGCTGCAAGACTTTTTTTTTTTTTAACCACATTAACAGTCCTGCCTTGCACACAATGCTAAAAGTTCTCAATATGCACCTTGCTGTACTATTCAGAAAAGTAGGTCCCCAGTAACATTAGCAGAGTTTAATTCTCATTTAAGGTCACAGCTGATAACAGTCCCCTAAAACTCCAGCTTGTTGCACTAGAAAGACTTGATCCGGCTCCAGCCCAGAATCAAAGCAACAAACACAAGCACAATCAGAATCAGAAACCAGCACTGACAGTGTAATGTTGTTTGCCTGCTGCTCTAACAATGGCTCTGTACTATTTTCTATGCAGCTTCTACATGAAATACCCTACTGGTCCATGAAGTCACTACCAGACTAGGTATTCTGACAGTGCAAACGAACTAGTACCAAGTAGCTACAAAAACTCAGCCAAATCTTTACAAAATGCCCAGATCCAGTCACTAAGGAACAACCCTTGGCTGTCGTTTGTACCTTCCTCCCCCTATCTTTTCAAGCCCGGTCAGATTTTTAGATGTAAGGGCTAACACAGGCTGCTGTGCTAGTTCTATACAAGAGTGTACAGCTGTGATTTATACTAATTTTTTGTGCTCTAGACCAGAATGATTACCTTTCCAGTTGCAGCAATCATGCTGTGCTGAGTGCCTGCTGGGATTAACCCTCGGAAAGGCTGGGTTACTTGTGCAGGTCTGCTTAGATTTTGAGCCGGCGCTTGCGGTGGTGTGTGCTGTAGTGGTGGTTGCAAAGACTGGGGCAGGGCAATAAGTGGCTGTGCTGTGGATCCAAAGTTGGGCAAAGAAATTTGTGATCCTGGCAAAGGTACTGTCACCTGGAAAAAATAAAAAGTACAACATCACCAGTAACATATACACAAGGGCCATTATTTCATATTGTTTATTAGCTCTATGATTTGAGCTACATTCAAGGTAAATGGTTCAATGATTTCATCATTTATCCACAGAGATGTGAGCAAATAAGTGAACTTATTGTTTAGACTGTCTTTGTAATCAAATGGTCTTTGCTTTTCAGAAAGAAAGCTGCATGCTAGCTTCTAACTCCAACATCTTTCAATATAATTTCACTGTACAAAGTAGTAAATTTAATTCAACTCTGAAAATAAAAGGAGAATGAAATAGCCAGTTGGAGGGTGGAGGGGGTTATTTATTTACTTCAAATAATTTTAGTCATCATAAGGACATTGTTTGGAATAAAAACTAGATTTTACTTTCCAGGAGTCCCAAAAGCAATTAGTCTGAGCTTAAAAAAAAAAACACCTCTGAACCATGGCCTCTCACTTCCTTGCATTAACAGGGAGTGCTGTGGGCTGGAAACACCACAGAATGGTAGTGCTAAATGTTAAAATACCACAGCAGTGAACTGCCTGGCAGGAGCTTCTGCATCTTCTAGTCTGACCATCAATTCACAACCCACGAAATGTTGCATGTTCCAAAATGAGTGTGACTGTAAGAATGAGACAATATTCTCCAGATGTGAAAGACTTACTAAGGTTCTGCTCTGAAAGATAACAGATTAAAAGTACAGAGACAGCTAAGCTTGAACACATTAAAAGTAGTAACCCTTATAAAAGGTCCTTAAAACTTTATGCTAGATTTCCAACAGATGAGATCAAATTCTAAGACTCTTCTAGATTTCCATCTTGGCAGCTATTCATGTGTATGAAGTAGGCTACTACAACAAACCAGGCCATCCTAAGCTTTTTATTTTAAAAAGCCACTTAAAACAAAAAGTTGAACTAGAAGTTGGACAACACTAGACAGCATCCTGTATATATGACAGAATGCTTGCACACACAGCAAATTGCCAGTTCTTCCACAAAATCCTTCAAAAAAAATGAAAATCACTGGAGTTATTTTACAAACCTCCTCATGGAGGTTAATGACTTGGCTGTCCTGTTTGCCTGTATGACCACCTATCTGTTGACTTCTCATTTGTTTGGTATTGTTGACATACGTAGCAGCTCTATGGTTTCATCTCAACAAAATCTGGTGTTAACAATTGGGCTACACTAAGCATCTGGAGTGTGTCTCTCCCCACCATTGCTAGCTGACACTTGCCCCCATAAAGGCAGCACACGCCTCAGTTAGCAACATCACTGTGCCAACTAAATCTTTTCCTGTCACTACAAAATGAACTATTTATGAGAAGGATGACAGAGGCAAATAGCAACACGAACTTGTGGGCCATCCAACTTCTGAGCAATTCAGTTTTTCATTGCTGCTGCAGTGGCTCTCCTTTACTATCAATTTTTGATTCCTGCATTTTGGAGGAAGTAAACGTTGTCACAGCCCTCATCTCTACCCCACAAAACCCAACAACAACATGCTTTTAAGAAGAATACAATTTAGGAAATTTACCATGCCATAGTTTACCTGCTGGAGAGCACTGGGAGACTGTGCAGTGTTGTAGAAATTGCTCTGGCCAGGCTGTTGAACTTGCCCAGAGTATAGATTTGAAGCCTGAGTGAGTGTAGCTCTGGCCTAGAAGAGAGACACCATTACATTAAGATTACTTAGGAGAGCAGTTCTAGATGACACATCATTCTGTACCTTCAATTAGTAAAGTAGAAACCACAGCACAAGAAGCTGACAACCTGAAGGTTTCAGCTTGTTATAAAGCTTTCATTTGCAAGTGGTAGAACAGCCCTTTATCACCTACTATAACAGAAATTAAACCTGAAGCTCTAATTAGTGATAGAAGTGCAAGGAGTTGAAATAATCCGCAATTCAGAGATTATCCTAATGTACCTTTATGAAATGAAAAGACCATTTTCTTCCAATCACCTTAAGCTTTTTGCCACTTGACTACCATGTAATTATCACAGAGGTGGGCTTGTCCCAGGCTGAGCAATACTTGATTTATTATTGCATTATCTGTATCAAATAATTTCAGAAGTTTAGCATTTTGGAGCATCTACCTGGAGAATGTGTGTATCAATAAGCTGAGAGCCTCCCAGACCTGAAGCTTGACCAAGTTGATGTTCGTATAATATAGGAATAGGCTGTGTATTAGAAGTCTGCTGGAATGCCAGGCTTGACTGTGCCTTTGCAAGCTCCTGGTGTTGTACGGCTGGGAAGTTGTGCAAGGCTGTACCAGACAGAACGACTGGTGATGGCTGAGACAAACCACTCTGCATAAAAGCTTGCTGGGATCTGCAAGATATTGAAACAGCACACATTAAAATGCAGACGAAAGGTCAACAATGAGCCACCACAAATTAAGAACACAGGCTATATATTAATTAGAATGCTTAGCTCTACTGAACAGATTTTCACCTGAGAAAGGCACATTTTTCTATTTACTCTGCACTCAAAATAATAGATGCTACTAAAGGCCACAGGAAAAAAATGACTAAGCCTACCTAAATCGTCAAGTACACTTGGGTATTTAGATATGGATGCTAACTGAACTGTAACATAAAGGAGCTACCAGTTCTTAGTTTGTGCTGAAAGAAGGACAGCATGGAAGCACCACATCTGAGTAGTTCCACCTAGTCATAAAGTAAACTGCTTTGTTCTCTTGACTTTGAACTTCTCCATAGTCCAGCTTTTAATACCTACAAGTTAAATCACTGGATAGTGACAACTGTAGCTTTCAAATTAATGTTTCAGATTCAATTAGTAGCAGAGACACACCAAAGTCTAATTGTAACTCGATACATAATTCCCAGTACAGGGAAGTCACACTTTGTTTAAAAAACAGACCAAAATCAGTACAGCAAAGCACCACACAGGGGTGGTTTTAGTCCATCAGAAGAATTTATTCAAGCACTTCCATTTCAGCCACCTTCAGACTGAAGAATCAGGCTTTAAACCAATGCTCAAAAGCTCAGAGTGTTTTTGATGTGAAAACCACTTTTCACTTTATCACTTGGTCAATATGTACCAGCATAGCTCTGGTCCTGCTAATCTGTTAGCACTGTCACCATGTGCTTGCCTGCCAGAACACCCAAGTGTTTCCTTTCTGAACCTTTCTTAATTGCAAAACATTCTTATGGTTGCACTCCGAGGAGTGGAGAAACTTGCCCAGAATGTATGCAGAGGACTGTCTTCAATATAGTCAAAAGCATTTTGACAAGCTTTTATTTTTAAACCAGTAACCTTTATATCTTAAAGCTTATCCTCCTCTGCACCCTTAAAGATGTGGGAAAAGTATCCATACTCTTACAGAAAGCACAACCCCAAACTCCATTAATACCAGGTTTGTGCATGACCAGAGCAGCAGGAAGCAGTTATTTCATCTGCCAGACCGTGTTTCTGCAGCTAGCCCATTGTTTGCAACAATTTTGTCAGCTGTAGCAGGACAAGCAATATTTGGTCCAATGAAGTCACAAACACAAAGTCAGGATACACATGTAGTCAATTAAACCTTCTGTAGCTTCAGCCTTCTGCTTTGCAGCAAGCAGGTTTCTCTACAGCACAAACTCAACTCTGTAGCTACATTTCCAAAGAAACTTTGTCTCGAAGCGTAACTAATGAAATTTGTCAGAATCATACTACTGTGAATCAGTCTTTAGGAACTGCAAGGAACCTTTGGGAAGGCTCACATTGGGACTTGGGCTAGCAATTTGAGAGATACATTTGAGAGATACTGGTCTTGCTGTTACCTTTGGTAGTGAGCAAAACCCTCGTTTATTCTAAAACACACCTTACTATCCCCTGCTATCTGAAATTAATTTTCTGCCACCTATGGGGTCCAAACTAGGATTTCAAAGTGTTTCAAGACTTCAGTGTTGGTTTATTAGGAAATAAAAACCAGGAATTAGAGTTAAAGAGACAGGCTTCTCTTTTTCTATATGAAAGACAGATGTTTTCAGCATTTTAGCTTTGTTTCTTAAATACACTATTATGCATAATTTTTGAACCTACAACTTCACAATTACATCTGTACACATAGACTAGCCAGACTACCCACATACAGAGTTCTCAGCCACACATATTTTGGGGGAGACAGGAAGACAAGGCAGTTGCTGAGTACAGAACACAAGTCTGCAAGGGAAGCAAGTTCTATCAATTCTGCCACTCAAAAAACCCCACAGAAACATGCATACACTACCTACCTATAAGGTTGTAAAGAGGAGTTGAACAACTCTTGAGCTTGTGAAACAGGTGGTGCTGCTCCTAAACTTAGCTGGGCTTGATGCTGTCCTTGCAAAGGTGCATAGATGGGGATAGGGATCTGCTGAACTGAAGCAGGCTGCATAAAGAAGACACCATTAAATATTCAAGGACGAAAGTCATGTTGAAAAGCTACAGTTACATGTGTGCCAGGATTTGTGGAATGTTATAAAAAGTAAACAAGGAATGTCAAATCCCAAGGCAGCATGCAAGGCTAGTATTGCTCCCATTCAGAAAATTACTTTCTAGTTGAATTTTGCACTTTTCCTTGCAAATAACCAGCAGAAACTGAAGATTCAGGTTTATGTAAAAACAACTGGAGAATATTCTTGTATAGAATCTTGTAATACAGAAGTCAAATAAGCCTGTGCTAACATGGCCACACAAATGCCTCTCATGAATATATTATTTTACATGAAGTATATTTGTGAGTGAAAACTTAATTCTTTCAACTTTCATGACAAATGCTTTCATTCTCAGCAGCAGTAAAGGCCAAACACCACCTGCATGCGCCAGAATGAAATGGCAAGTGCAGGCATGACCTCATTTTTGCAGACTTTAGTCTCACTCTCCCCTGTCCCCATTAGCTCATTAGCAGAACTTTAAAGGCAATATGGACATAGAGGGGAAAAAAAACCAAACAAACCACAAAGATAAAAGAAATCCCCAAATACCTGAGAAAGCCCTGGTTGAAAGCCTTGCTGTTGGGCCAGAGAAGGTGGTGCCAAACGTGCATGTTGGGTATTGAACAGATGACTTGTATCCATATAAAATGCTGGGATTTGAGCTGCAGTACCTCAGGAAAAGCAACAGAGTTAGTACCCTATTCCAAACATCTCCCTACTAGAAATGTTTTTATCCAGAGTTAGAGATGCCACTGTTAGTACTTCCCAGTGTGACAGCTAGCAGAGAGAGTGGGAGAAGAAACAAAGCAGAAGAGCTAGCTGTCTAACCAGCTTTGTTAACTTTTCCAATTCATCCCCAGAATCTGTCAGTCTTGCATATACACCTTCAGTCCCATGCAGTTCTTGGGGGACAAGCAACCGATTTTGGCCAAAACAGTGTTTGAATGAAAGGGAAAGAACAAGCTATACTGCCATGTAATTTAGGTTAACTATATGTAGAGTTTTCTTTAAAGAAAAATGCCATGATTCTAAACTATTGTGGTACTTTATGAAAGAAGCCAAGACTATGTCATTCTTGGCCTTAAACAGTGATTTAAAGTTCTGCAAGAGAAAAATGGTACATCAAGAGGTTCAGACTTTCCTCAAGCTAACGCCACAGTATTATCTTTATACTTACTCTAAACATGCAAATTTCTATCAGCAAGATACAATTACCGAATATTTGCTTACAAAATGCTGTCCATCATTCTGTCTTTACTGCAGATAGAACTAGAGTTGAATTCAACTTTCCAGCTTCAGAATTCAAAAAAAGCAGACATGTGGCTTCTCAGCCACAAACACTATTACCTGCTGCAGACTGAGACACATAGACCTGGGGACTTTGCTGTTGCTGGGCAATGAGGGATGGCATGCAGCTCAGCTGGGAAAAATGACTGGCAGAAGCTAGGCTGCTTGTCTGCAACTGCTGTGGTTTCACTTTACATATATTAGGAGGGTCGGTGGTGCTTGCAGTCTTCGTACTCAGTGAGGAAGTTGTGTATGTTCCAGCTCCTAGGAGGAGAGAAGCAAGTTATACATCATAAAACACCTAAAGGTATTTCAAAGCCTCATCTTTCAGTGGTCGAAGTATTGGGACAGCTCTGCAAGAACAGCAGTGAGGAATGCTGAAATCTAATGCAGCTATGTCCATGAACATAAGATGGACATCGAAGACACTTTTGTTAAGCTCATTACAGGAAGTGCTGCAACCATAATACATTGCCCTTCTTGAGTATAGGAGCCTATAAAAACACTGAAGTAGACATCTGTTAGTTACACAACAACACACTGCAACATATGGGGGTTGTGCCTCTCATGGTTGAGAGTCAGGTTCCAAGTAAAGGTCTTTTTCAAGCACTTTCACTGAGATTTGGGCATACATTTTGATACTCCAAGGTGTGAGGATTTAAGCACACATCTTTTGTTTGTTGCAAAGAACTAAGGTGGGGGAACCAGCACTGTTTGTGAAGAGCAGCTGGACATTTGCTCTACCTAGTGCAAATGGGTTTTGGTATGAGCTTTAAGTTGAAGCTTTAAGTCCAAAAGCAAGAGCACAAATCAAAGTAAGATTGAAATTAGCTGAGTATCAGAACTACTATCTGCCTCAAAATCTACTTGCTTGCCTTCATTCAGCTGAATAAAAAGAAACCCATAAGGCAGCCAACAGGAGAAGTTTAGCTCCTCTTTCAAGTTCATATAAGAAGCACAAGCAGAGAGATGTCACTTTAATATTCTTTTCAGCTGACTGAAGTGAAACAAGTGAAATATCTCCTTGTTAATTAAAAGATAATTTAATGGAAAGCTGCTGTTCAGATCCAACATTTCACATCAGCATAAAACTTGTTAGCATTGCATTAAACATATTTCCAAAAGGAATCTAGTATCTTGAAAAACATAACTAAGGAACAATACAACCTTGACACTACAATCTTGACATCTAGTACCTGATAGCGAAGTTGTCGGTGTAACGGAGGCCACAGGAATAGGAGGCATTGATGCACTAGAGAAAGAGCTGTAAGTACCACTGCTTGGCCCAGTGCTGCTGCTGCTGCTGCTGCCACCAGCAATGGGAGATGCAGTTGAGGTCACTGGTGAACTCTTCTCCCCCATGGTTGGGGAATTCTCCCACGCTTTGCGTGCAGACTCCATCTATTAAAAAGAAAACAAGTTTCCTCATCTATCAGGAAGTTTGAACTAGTCAAACAGTTTTCCTCTTTTAACAGTTCTTTTAAGTTCAAAAGGCAATTCAGGCTTCATGCGAGCCTCTTAAAAAGATCAACATAATCGTGCAACTCCATTCATGCAAAAAGCATACAGCCTTAAGCTGGAGCTTCTGATCTGTTCCAACTGCACACGTGCACGGTTCATCATCTTAACATTCAATGCTCAAGAGAGAATTTGCTCACGCTAATTTGGCTTGGTTTTGTTTGTGATGAAGAGCAAAAGACACAGTGAGTGAGCAAAAGAAAGGTAAAAACCCCTCTAAATATTTCCATGAAGTCCTTTACTTACAAGTTATTTGGGCCATTTAAATGAAACAGCCCTTTGCTCTCTTGGTAAATAATCTGAATTGAGCGATGATCAAAAATATCTAACGCTCACTTCAGTAAACATGAGAGTAGTCAAGGTTTCCAAAGCAACTGCTGTTCAAGAAGCAACCACGAGCTGCAACAGCTTGTGCACAGTGCTTTACGTTAATGCTAAAAATGCTTCACACTCCCCTGTTCCTGCAATAATTATGAGTAAGTTTTGCACAGCAAGGAAGATGATGCTTCAATTTAAATATTTTATACACAATTATCTTCCACCAAAAGTGGAAAGAACTCTTGCTTTACTGCACTCAATAACAATCTAACTGTTGCCACACAAGACACACAATGCCAACCTGAACTGAGATGCTTCTGAGGTACTACTGAAAAGGAAATATTAAAGTTCAGGCACACTCATGAATTTAAAGGCTCAAACACACTCCATGGACTTCTCTAGAAATTTCAGCTGTCCCCACTTGAAACAAAGATTTGCAAGAGCTGGATACCACAGGCTGAAATTGCTCATTTGGTGACTAAGTTTCTGAAGGCTACACACTGTCTTTAACAGCATACATAAAAGGGCAAGTACACTCACCAACAAATCTGACCTCACTGCCTGGCTCAACAGAGCCCCCAGCTGGGACCTGCAGTCTCTGAAAGTCATACTTTCTACCTACCCTGTTTTACATGAATTAGGCACAGTCTGAACAGACCAAACACGACTTAGGTTATTTGTCTAGATGCTTCAGAAGTGATACAAAAGCAGAGCACTACTAAAAGAAGTTGGTAACAGGTGATAAATACACAATCATGTGGGAAGTGGCATTCTGTATTCCTCAAGACAGTGAAAGGGGAGGAAAGAAACTTACACACTAAATCATATGATGGTAAGTTGCCTATTTTCATTTTTGAGACCATCTTCCCCTGCCATCATTTTCAAGTTTCCCCTCCACAAAATTTTCCTCCCAACTGGTTCTGATTCTTGCTGTGAATTCAGATTGGGCAAACTGAAAAATTTATTATTAATCTGTTGGAAAGGATTTTGCTTAAGGTAGAATACAGCTAAGACTACAATCTGCTTTCTGAACACCACAGGCTCTGTTAAGACAGGTTAACAGCCTAGTACTGCATTGGTATTAAGAGAAAGTGAAGAAGTACTTGTGAATGAACAGAGAAGTTGCAGAAGCTTTCTACTATGTTCAGTGAGTTTCATGATGTCCTGGAGAAAATACTGATAGCAAAAGCTACAGTCTGCATACTGCATTTTGCCTTCCATTTTCCAATTTGCAATAAAAGGCATGTATGAGAGTCATGATTTTTTTTTTTTTTTTTTTTAACAGCTTTGCTTTTAGAGAGCTCCTTAATCTCTAACTCCCTAAGCCAGAAAAATGATGCAGAAGAGACTGCTCCTCTAGGGGTTCCTGTGCAGCACCATCTACAGACCAGATTATGAAGGGGTAAGAGGCTCAAGCGAGGCTGGGGTGAGTGCCGTAATTTCATTGCTCACTTAGTTCTGGGAAAAGGAGAGCACAAATTGAAAATGATGGTTGCTTGAGACTTCTCCCTCGACCCACTGGGGCCTTCACACTGCAATAACGGACCAGTACATAAGTACGTCAAAATTTAAGTCATCAGAAAAAGAAAGTCAAAAAATGTTAAGATTTTTGACCAGATATCTACACAGGAATTTTAGATGGAACTTCGGAACATGGAATAGGGACAGGCAGCTCAGTTTAAAATTGCTTTGGACTTTCTTTTGCTCAGTTCCTTACCTACAATAGCCCCATCAGCTAAGCGCTTTGGAGGATGTCTGCCTAAAAGGGGTCTTTACCAAAGTTAGTCCAGGGAAATAAGAGATCTCAAAAAAGGCTTCCCATTTGAGCACCTTATACCTATACCCTGGCAGAAAGCTGCCAAGTAGTGTGAGCAGTTGTGGCCAAGTTCCCCTGCTAAGTCTCCTCACAGACAGCTTTCTGTGATAGGGGAAAGAGGAAGTGCAAGGATTATTCCTTTGTGGAGGCAGAGCATGGAGATTTTGTTCTTTTAAAAGAAGGAAGGAAATGCTTTCACCCCTGCTGTTGCAGAAGTATCTTTTAAAAGAAGCAAGGATTATATTGAAGAGAATGACATAAAGAGCAGCTCTGCTCTGTCTGGACCAGAAGGCCTGTTGTGAAAGTGACAGTCTCAGTGCATGCTTCAAAACAAACTTGTTGCCTTCAGCATTTGCCAGAAGCAGGCAAAGCTCCAGTGGCTGGAATACAGAAATAAAAGACAAAGCTGCTTCCAAATGCCTTTCCATTCAGATTGAGGTCAGTGTTCTTCAAGACAGGCTCAAAACATGGACCATCGACATATTTTGTTAGCACACATCCAAGACCTATTATCCACCAAGAAAGCAAATCACCAACAGCAGAACAGCAGAAAAGAACTGCAGGATGAATGACACAAACACTGCCATTTGCTTTGTAACTGAGCAGTGTCACTATCTGCAGCACCACCCTATCGTAGCATTCCCACCTGTGTTACATGTGAACCAAATATCCAGCTGCTAAAGAGTTACAGACTTACTTAAAAAAAAACCCAAAATGCTTGCAGGAATGAGAATGTCAGATTATGGTAGTTTATTACACAAGAATGCAATAGAAAACCAGATTTTTTTCATTTATCCCCCTCCAGCCCTCTCCCCACTTTTGCTGTTTTAAAGCCATGTTACGCTCTTTCCAGGAAATAAAGTGTCAACAAAAGAAAAGCAAAGATTCAACCAGAGATCAATAACTATCATCTCTAGAGAAGAAGAGCAAGCAGCTGTCACACCATGCCAGCGAGACACAAGTCTCACTGGGATTGACAAGCAAGTTTCTCCAAAGTGTTACTTCTGCATTCAATTCTTCTTCAACAAAAAAAGTTCAAACATTACTCCTCCTCAATACTAGAAGTAGCAACAATATTTCCACTGGTTCAGTCCCCTGCAGACATAACAAAGCAGATCTAGGACACCAAAAAAAGAAAAAAAGACCAAAAACTGCTGAAGATACAGTAGCCAAGCTAGAGCCCAACTCTGTTAGTGTGTTATACAATGCATACAATCCAAAACCCAACAAAATGGGAAAACACCATTCAAAATACCCTCCATGCCTCTCTACACTACAGAGCAGAAAACAGCAGAATGTTTATAACACAACAGAACATGTTCTGACCAGCTGATCAAACTACACTTCAAAGACACCAACACACCACCTACATTTCATTATTTAGAACTTTTAGCCATCCAACTCAAAAACACATTATCACTGCACCAAAACCTTACAGCTAAGAGGAAATCAAGCTCGGCTTACCAAGGCACTCCTTACAGCCTTTAACACAAAACCAGGCAACTCACTTTAAGCTAAAAACTCTCAAGAAACATCAGTCAGATTCTGATGGTTTGCCACGAACACTATAGTACCACGCTAAAATGCTAGGATCTTTACTTTCAGGGCAGTGGGAGCCAAGACTGGTTGAGATGTCAAGTGTTAATGCAAAATGGGGTTAGAGATTTATAATTTAAATGCATCCTTTGATAGAGTCTTGTGTTTCAGCCATCCGTTTATATGCAAAAGCAGTTCAGCAGAGGAAACAAAGGAAGGCTCTTAAAAAAAAAAAAGGTTCACCAGCAAGTTCTCCATTAACTTTTTCCCCTGCATGCAAGAAAATGACCCTTAGAGGGATGTGGTACATACCTTGAGGGTGAGGTCGACGGTAGCGGGAGAAACTGGAGTTAGGCTGGAGCTCTGTTGTAGAGTCTCCCTCCTAGGGAGGGGAAGGGTGTGGGGCAGGGGCACCTGAAAGGCAGGCAACACACATCACATTCTAACTACGTCTACTACAAAAGCCCCAAAAAAGCAAAGCTCAAGCTTTAAGTGAGCTACAGTTTCTTCAAGGCTTGAGCATTTGGCAGGGAGGTTTTGATAAAATAAAGTGAAAATTTGGTAGACAGGGAAAGGTCATTCAGCAGGTGCCGAGATGCTTTTCATCTCTCTTTAAGAGGCTGAAGACTAAGGTTCTAAAGTGTCCATGTCTTCTGCATGAACAAATACCAATTTTCTGCTTTGGGATTTAAAGTACCATATTAGTTTACTGGTATGCAGAAATTCTTCCCAAGCCAAGTTTGTCCCCTTTTGTACCAATATAGTACATGGGGCTGCATGACCTTAAATTCTGAGATGCAGTTCCTGAAAAGTGGAAGCTATAAAACTCTGAAGTCATAGGACCATGAGACAAACCAAAAGAGATTTTCCATCCAATAACTGAATTCAGTTATCTTCTCTTTCAAAAGATAAAAGATGTGAAACTTCAGGAATTCAGCTTGACATAATGTTGTTTCTATCTTTGCTCAAGAAAACACTGATGGATTTCCTAGAAGTTTTAAATTAAATGTATCAAAAGATACTGCAGTGGCCAGTCTATTACTCCTAACCACTTCTTCCTCTGTTCAGAGCACAGCTAATGGACCTCCACTGGATAAGATAAGGCTAATCCAAAAGACACAGATACTGAAGTTTTGATCAGGTGATAGCACAGAACCTTTTGTGGCCGGGAGTCACTATTTCCTGTGTTGGAAATCAAAGTCCAACAAGCCACAGGGAAGCATACACTAACTTAAAAGAATTCAGCCTTCTGCACTAACCAAAGGCACAAACCACAACACCACCAGAAAATCCAGCAGAAGAGTAACTTCAACTAATATTGCTTCAAAATTGTATTCAAGGATGCTGCAGTAAGATGAAAAGCATATCTTAGACAGAATTCACGATACATCTTCATTAAAATGTGAGATCCTACTGTATGACTCTTCCCCCAATCAACAAGTGACTCAACTCTTAAGCCAATTCTATTTCTGCTACTCAAACAACAAATATCACAAGATCCAAGCTCCCTGACATCTCAGCACAATCAAGACAAATTTGATTTCACTACAAGTCACAACCCAGCTGGTCCTCTCAATCGCTCCACCACACTCACACAGTCAGGAATCGCTTGGTTTATGAAGTCTGCAAATATCTCTGTAGCAACTGAACTACTGAAAGACTGCTGTTTCCAGAAACCATTAAGCTCCTCCCTTTACATGCAGTTGCTGAGATTTCAGGCTATGTTTCAAAATTGCTTTGTTTGTAAAAGCTTTACCTCAGTCATATACAGAACTTTGCTACTGGTATCAGGTTCAAGTCCTAATCACTGCTAAGAGCACACTCCCTCATTATGCCTATTTTTGCATTTTTAGAATCATCTCTAGAAACATCTTTGCCACTTTCTGTGATTGTCAGCAAACTGTGTTTGTTCAAAATGCAAAAAAATACCTAAGAGTTCCAGAACAGACACTAATCAAACCAAACAGCCTTCAAAGTAAGATACCGCATAACACACAGCCAGTTAATGTGAAAGAAACCCTAGCAATTTGTTTACTGAAGGCAGTATTTTGTGCTTTAAAGAAGTGTGAAAATAATTTCTTGTCTTGAAAGTCAAGATGATCACTGCAATAAACTTACGTTCGTCACCAAAGTCTCCTCCATTTTTGTAGTGCTAGTAGCCACTGTGTTAGGATGAGAAGAAGGTGTAGTGTAGTCTGTTACAGACTCCTGTGAAGAAAAATAATTCCATTAAAATATCTCCCTTACCTAAATTAGATTTAAATTTCTTGGACAGATGTCAGCCTTTCCATAGGAGTTCACCAAGCAATAGAAGATTAGAATTTCACCCCATTTTTTTTTTTAGAAGGCACATCCAGCAATCCTTATTGCTGAACTGCTGCTGAGGTCAGAAGAATTCTTGCGAGATTACAGTTTGCCTCACGACCTCACAACATCCATATGGAGACAAGTCAAAACACAATCTGTAAAGCAAGAAGGTACAAGGCAATGTACTGCCTAGGGGCTAGACGTTAAACAGTGGTGGCGTAACCAGTTATGTTTTGTCACTCTAGATGCTTTAGCCACCTGTGTATGTACTTTTAGCCCATTTAAAAATAAGATATATTAGCTGAAAGCTTTCTGTAGCTTTAGACACAAATTTCTTGGATGAATCTAGAAGTAGAGCCTTCCAAATTAAAAAGAACTCAGAAGCATGGCTGCAATTTGCGAAACAATTTTCTTTCCTTTAATCCTTGTCTCTGAAAGTGACAAGACTCAGTTTCTCTGGATGGTGAAGTCTACCTCATTTCTGCACTGGGCAGTGATTTCAAGGACGAAAAGGATTGAAGTTTCCAGTCTACCCAGAGGCTTTCTTTGAAGCTTATTTATCACAGTTAAGTGGACCTTAACATGCTCAAAGAACAAGGTCCACTTTCATGGACCCAGCTGTAGCCAGTGACCACTGCAGTTGAGGGTAGAAACTGCCTGATGAAAGTGTCTCACTGATAACACTGACAGCTCTGCAGAGAATGACCTACAATGAACAAAAAAGGTACCGGCACATCTGTGAAGCCATGCTGAGAACTTTAGTTCTGCCTCTGGATATATACCAGCTGTATTCTGGATATGCTAAGAGGTGTTACCAGAACCTGACCCAGGGACTTTGTCAGATACAGTGTAACCCTGAATTAGCCGAGATCCGCTCTAGTAAGCACTGCACACTCCAGGGTTTTACATGTCTGAAGCCCAGAAAAGTTCGCATCATTTCTACCAAACCCCAACAAGAAACTAAAGCACAAATTAGCAGCAGGACTGTTGTTGAGTGCCTGGACTTGCCAACATAATGACTCTGAAGGCACAAACCACATAATGCTTGTTTAGTTGCATCCAACCAGTATGATAAGCTATTAAAAAAAGCATACTCAAATTACTCCCCAAGCCTATAGCCATGTCTCCTAAAAAAGCAATTAAAGCATCAAGATACTAACTGGCTAATAAGAAAGAATCTTCATTAAAAAGGTGAGCTCATTTTAATAACAGACTAGGACAATGTAAACCCTGAAAGGGTGAGAGAGGATGCAATATGCACACAGATTTTTGTATTTAGGAAGGAAACAGAGAGCTACTTTCTCCATTTAGTTATTTCCTTTATTTGTGAAACTGTTAAAACACAAGCTATACAATGTTGCCCACAATCTGAACTACCAAACTGCACATTTATATTTGGTTCCAAAAGGCAGCTTTAATTTGGATAGAACAAGGCAAGCACATGAGGCTGCTTTAAGCACAAGGTCCTTCTAATTAAGTTATGAACTGACTTCTTGGTTTTTTAGACACTTTACTGCATAAGAAAGAGGAAGTTTCTAATATAACCTTAATATTCCTTCAAGGTTTGGATGCAAATTTTACAGGGTCTCAGCACTAAAATCCCTTACAAAGGAAATCAGATCAAAACTATCTAACTTTCTCACTTTGGAAATTTACAGCATAAAAATACATTTTCTTTGCCACTAAAAACAAACCACCACATCGACTCTTGTGCCCTAAGAAGTATATGTGCAATACTGAACCATCCTACAAGGATGAGTTATGTGTTGAACACACAGATAAAACAACATTTTAGCCATAAGAACACCACTCCATAAACTGCAGGTTAACCACCATCCTTCACTTACTTTTATGTTAAATCTAGGAATCTGTTAGCTATGGCTTATCACCATAAGCTTCAGTAATTTAATTACAATGATTCTCCTGTACAACTGTTTTAGTGAAGAAAACTAATTACTTTATTATAAACTAGTAGCAGTAGTAATAGCAAAAGCAAAAAGCTGTACATGCTTTAAAAAAGTAATTTACAAGTTATTTATACCTAAAGAAAAAGAACAGGCAAATTTTTTATGACTCTGCCCAAAAAGAAGAGATCACAAAACCTGAAATAGCTTTATGAACAAAAGCACAAGGCAGACCTCAGAGCTGACCTTGCTATAAAAGGATCAGGGTACTAGATGAGATTAAATAGCTATTTGATTTGCTCTTGATTTATGTAAATCACTTGAACCAGAGAGCTTGTCAGATACTCAACATTTATTCTAAAATACAGCCTGTGTCCTTTTTGACCACCACCTCTGTAAGACAGCTGTTACCAGCTAACTGTGTGAACACTTCATTGCAGTGTTCACAAAAACCAGGTGTTGATAATTCCTGTGATTTGAAATCTTCAAAACTTTAGTGATGGCAGAGTGGGGACAGGCAAGGGTGAAGGAGTTTTACCCAATTCAGAGACTGACACACATCAGATTACCTTTACTCCAAAAATACTGCAACATCCAAGAGTTGTACAGCTGTAATTGCTTCAGAGCATCATGTTTATATTCTAAACTTAAACATCTCACCAGTATGAGTTCATATCTTTACAGTTTAAGGTAAAAATCTTGTACGATTAAACACCTGCTCTTATTAGATGTTGATTTTGGGATGGATGGGGTACACTCACAAAGCTTCTGCTTCTGAAGGAGGACAGCTGGCTTGGCAATCAGACATGTGAATCACCAAATACACGAAAGATTGTGCCTTCCTGGAAGTTGAGAAGTAGTCTGACAAGGATGTTAAAAGAGTATCAAAAGAGAAATCCTTTAGGTTTGCTAAAACTTCTAACACATAACACTGAAATGACAGATTAAAGATATCATAACTTTCTCCCTCAGTGAGCAATGGGAAGAGTACAAAGACCACAAAGCAGTTGTGATACAAATTGGTAGAGGAACTCTACGGCTGGAGCACTATTTGAACCCATTTTAAAAGCCACTTTAAAAAAGCAGCAAGACTGGTTTACTCCCGCGAAATCTAGATGAAGTTTCTTATCCAACAAATCCACAGGTTGCTGGTTGAATTTCCATAGTATTAAATATAAAATATGACCACACCTTCCCTAGAAACAAACCAAAACAACTTACTAATACTCTGGGAACCACTCATGACAAATTGAAAAGCAAACCTGGAACTTTCGGGACAGGAATATTTAGGCCTATTATGAAATGCTTCTATTAGCAACTACTTAATGAGGAAATTACTGGGAATTTTCATATCTAGAACAAACTGTAAGTTTTCCTTTCATTCTGGTCTACACTCCAGAAGACAGAAGATTTATGCTTTAAGACTGTGGTAGTTCAAAGAACCCTGGCAACCAATGTCTAAGGCCAAAAAGGACAGAATCCAGACTTCCCTTCTGAAGATCTCAGACTTAGAAAAGAAAATTCTAGAGAAGAACTCAGGCAGATTTTAGCAGAGCTGCTCAATATATTGAGTTAGCCTGAAGTAAGCAACAAAGACATGTTTCCTATTCTTTTTGTGGCTTGGAAGAAGCATTTCCCTTACCTTGAGCTCTGATCACAGAAGCTTCAAAGACAGCAAGAAATCACATGACATATACAAACAGCCTTTCTACTAAATACTTGAGTGAGCTGATGTTTATGACTCTACACTTCTGATTGTGGATACAAGAAGGGCACTTTACTTGTTTCTGTGTCAGTATGAACTACTCACATCTATTTACACAATGGAGACTGCCAGGAAGGATAAGAAATCCCAGCACTGCATTTTTTTTTTAATGTTTCACTCAAAAATCAAGTTTGCAGCTACCATGTCAGACAAGTATCCTCCTTAACACTTGCTCTGTAACAACACTTCATCGAGATAGCCATCTTCTGCTTGCATGACAGCTTGACAAAAAAATGCCAAAATTGTCGTCTTTTTTTTTTTCTCTTTCAACTTCAGGTGACAAAAATAAGTTGTGAGTGATCTGCATTTCAGACTCTTCAACTATTAAATAAACTTCTGCAGATGATCTGTTTTCCTAAATGGCATCAGAAAATTTCTTAAGACTAAGAAAAGGAAGCTCGAGGCAGCATGCAACAACTTGAATTTAAACTCACAGAACTGCTTTACTAATACCCAAGACGCATTTTCCCTTTACCAAAACAGGTGTAACTTAACTGGTAGCTAGTCAAGCACAGTTTCTTTATATTCAAGAGATGACAACAGCAGTTTTTGCTCAAGACACAAACCTGCCATAGTGAGAGCAGTCCCCACACTGGTCCTTAGCCAAAGAGAGCACCTTTGTGGATGTTTTTCAGCCAGTGCTATCAATGCACCACAGCTAAGAATTGAGCTGTAGAATCCTGACAGCAAGTCATTGTCTCATTTTTGGGCAGTTAGAGGTCAGGGGAATTCTACACAGACAACTTTGATGAGGCCTCAACATCCTGAAGGAGTTCAGCAAGGGATACCTTGACAACATCCAGTCCAACGGGTGCTGACATGCAGACCTTTGCGATAAACTGAACAGGCCTTATCCAGTGCTTCAGCATATTCCTAGTTTTGAGTTTGTTGTTTTCGTTCCCACCCCCTCCCCCCCCAACAGCACTTCATTTACAGCTTGATGTCATCCATGCACTCAACCAATGACTATGCACACTACGTCACTCCAGTGGCTGAAGGTCAAGAACTCATCTTTCACATATCACATAGATGCAAGTTTACACAATCTGCCTATACCAGGCTCCAGGGCCACTCGCCACAGCAAGGCTGAGGACAGTTTTCACATTCATAAGGCAGCACCAAAGGTTAAAACCTTTGAAGCTGATCTCTGTACAAGGAGTATGACAAACGGCATGTCTCCACACCACTTTGGGAGAATCACTTAATTCAAGCAGTACTGAAATGTTCAATATCAGCTCTTCAGTGGGCTCTGCTGTCCAGGTAACTACCACCAGTAGGCAACTACTAAAGTTAGCTGCAGTCAATTACATCACTGTAATCAGATTTCACACACAGCACTCAGTTTGTCAATATTTTTCTTACCTTCGTGTTTGTTCCAAACTCTGGAGCAGACACAGAAATCATCGTTCCTATTTCCGTGCTCAGTTCACTTGCTGCTTTGGTTTCTTTTGTAGTGACAGGTTCTGGACTTCTGACAGAGGTGGGAGATGTCTTCTCCTGTCCCTCAGGCTCTCCCTGTTGGGCATCCTTCACCTTCCTGTTCTTTAAAGAACGTTCTTTCCCAATAGGACCAGGTTTATACTCTTTGTTTTCTACTGGACTCAAGTCTGGAAGCTAAGTCAGCGTTAAATTGTCAGTTAGGTCTTCCCCTCCATATTCCATCTCACAAGATTATTCTAACACACTTAAAATAATTTTGTTTAAATCTTACGAAGCTTTCCTGTAGGGTAAGCAATTTCTAGCAGATAAATCTTTTTGAGACTAAGTTAGCAATATGTACATGAAATGCATTCATTTTGAACACTCACAATCTAAGCCACTGTTTTCAAGCAACACGTTTTGTGTGAAGTGGTAGAGTTCAACTAAAATAAGATCTTGTTAAAGCTTATAGAAGAAAGCCAGCTTGACTCTCCTTACAAGAAAAACATTAAAAAAAGTACAGAAGCCACAAGACTTCATACACATACAGGTTATTTCAATTTTCAGAGAATCAGGATTTTACAGAGCCCCAGGAAACTAGAACAGCAGATTCTACCTTCATTTGAAGGTATCTCAATGTATAGATGTTGGCATCATTTATCCTTAGGAATTGAGACTAAGGGGATAGCCAGAAAACATAAGACACCTACATGCAAGTGTTGCCTTATACTGCAGACACCATGGCTTCAGCACTTGAGCAATTCCTTTTTGTGCAGCTGAATTAAAGCAGAATGAAGGGCCTCAGGGAACCCAATTGCTCTGCTGGTTAAAGAGCCATATGCTTTCTGGCTGAGACAATCCATTTCACTACAGAGCAGCACAAAAATTGTCTAAAGGCAGTCCTTAAAATCATCTTCCTTAAGCTTTCATAGTGGAAAGACTGAAGCTGCTGGTATTGTCTCTAAATACAAGCCAGCTGTTTCAGGAATAGATGAATACTCTTTACAAAATAAAGGCTTCGGGGAGGGTGGAGCTTCTCCAAAGATATGTGGTACCCTGAGGAGACCAGCAGCTTTCAGAGGGGAGGAAGAAGCAACAGTAGAAGCAGATGCCTGAGCTGTGCAATGCAGCAAACCCACCTCACCCCAATTTATTTTTTTTTTTTTGGCTCTAACAGTTTACAGAGGCATAAATTCCTCCAGACACTTTAGGGTCACACTTGGAAAGGTAAACTGCTTTGTTTCAAATATTTCCTCTTACATTGCCCATATTAGTTCAACAATACTAACTTCCAATCCTGAACATAAGTTTGTATTTAGGCTTTGTAGCAAAACAGTATCACCATGGGAGTGTGTAGGAATTGTTTGCTGTTTTTTTTTTTGTCATCAAGACAGTTAAAGGATTACAGCTCTCATTCAGAAGAGCGCACAAAAATGTTAATCTTCAAGGAATTTACCATTTAGTTATACATTTTCTTTCCACAAAATCTACAGGAGTCTTGATAGCTCTTACCAAGCAGAAAAGGAACTTTTTATACCGTGTAAAGAGGACACTGTCTCTCTCTGCCTTTAACTTTGGAGTTCAGTATCTTTAAGTCATTTAATGGGAGCAGTTTTAGGCGTGCTAGTAGTATATCTGAGATACGGCTTCTGAATGTGCTGGGTTACTAAAATTCACCAGCAGTATTAACTAGTGCATATTTCTCTGCAGTATGGGGTTTATATTTTTGCAATAAAATGCACGGAGTGCAGCATATCCACCGAGTGTCTCATGTAGCAGAAGTTAACTTCACTGTATGTGTGACTGCACTTTCAAGACGTCAGCATTTTTTTCAGGAAAAGAAAAAACACACACAAAAAAACCCAGCCACAAAAGCAAAGAAATGTCTGGTCTTCCAGAAAGACAAAAAGGCTTTCATTACACCAGGACCACTGCCAAATCTCAGATATCAAGAGGTACTGAAACAGCTGGTTCTTTAAGCCAGCAGCCAAGTTTCTCAGCTATAACCATCTCTTTCTGGTAGTAAGAAGTTGGTGCTGAGTGCTAGCAACACACAGAAAAGTATGCATTGGAGGCAGAAATAACAGGGAAGCACATTTAATGTGAAAGATCACTTAATGAAATCTAAATGACAGGAGGAGAAAGTATCACTCCTTATGACTGCTGATAACGGAAATAGGAGAAGATGATGATTGAATGGAGCTCCTAGATCTCTAGAGGGCAAGTGACACTTTTTTTAAAAAACTAAGTTTGATTACCTATCCACTCTTATTAGACTACTTGCAAAAAAAAATTATCTAGACATCTGTGCATTTGAATTAGAAACTTCAAATCAGTGGCTCTAACATTTCTGTTTACTCAAAGCACTTTTTTCTGCAACTTAATGTATTACTCATCTCAGTAATCTCGCTACAGAACTAAGGAGAGCACCATGCATCATTTAAAGGGGGGCAAGGCATGCAGGAACAACTACTGAAACTGGACACAGACAGGGCAGAAACAGAATGCCTGCTTCAAAATAGCTCTCAAAGTCTGGGGGAAGTAAGCTAAAGAGAAAACCAAAAACTCCAAACTAAAAACCAAAACCAAGACACTCTACCAGATCTACAGTCTCCCAGTAAAGATATCACAAATCCAACCCTTGCTCTAGCCACTTCCCTTGTTTTAAACAGAACCAATGGACAAGCTCTGCTGGGATACGATGCCGCTTACTTACACTTGCTTCATGAGCTGAATTCCACATCGCCTCTTCAAGAACCAGTTCGTTGATCGTTTTAGGAAATTTAAAAGCATAACAATTGTTATATGTCCAGTCCTAACTGAATGAGTATTCTGTGCCACTATTTGTAACATCTTTTTAGCTGAATTTCTTTAGGTTTAAAAGCTTGTACTGAAGATATGACCTTTTACCTTTTGTGCCTTGATGGGTCCAGCCCGAGGTTGTTTCTGTCTTTGCTCTTTAGGTTCTGGTAGCTTGTCAGTGGACTTCTCGGAAAGCACGGGGCCAACTTCATTGTCACTACCACTGGAAGCTGGGGCTCCAAACTGAATAGTTTCTATACCAAGATCAACTCCACCTTCCTGCCCAGGCTTTGCGCCCTAGTTAAAAGGCAAACATTTAATGTATTTGAAAAGACTTCTAGATCAGTAAAATGCTACCAGTTCAGAAAAGAGCACAAAATATGCTCAGTTGAAAACCCTGAAAGGGTACGTTTACCTTCTGCCAGAAAAAGCATTATTTGTGACTGCAACAGATTTGAAAGAATAAATATATAAATATATACCCTCCCCCTCCTCAAGTTCTTACTGTTCATCCAAGCTCAAAAGGGGAAAAAAAGCAGTGAAGTATGTAACAAGAACAAAATTATAAACTGGTAGAGAAGGGGAAGATGGACAAGTGCAGTATTAAAATGTCCAGCTTCAGCTTCCTAACATTATGAAAGCTCAGAAATTAATGTTCAGTTAAAGAGGAACAATAAGAAATTAAAGATTTCTAGATCTTATGCAGTTAAAATAGCCTCCTACGAGAGTTGTGTCACATTCTTACAGTTTAAAACACTAAAGTCAAGACCAAAGCAGCCCAATAAAACCAAACCACAGGACTTTAAATGTAAAACTTAGGGCTTTGAAAACTCTCTGTGATAAGCAGAGCTAATATAGTTAGATAATATCTACTGCTTTTTGTATCTGTAATTTAAGAAGGGTCATTTAGTTCTTTGGAGACATCCTGGTTTTGCCTACATTACTGAACTGTACACAAATGTTCACATGCAAACTAGGCAATACTTTTACTTTAAAACTGCACTGAATAACAGCTATCAATAGAATCTGTGAATGGCTGAGTTTTTATTAAACAGGTTTTCCCTTGCTGCAACCATAAATGCACTAGCCTGTATCCTGTGTTTCTGTACTGTCTCCTGACTTCACAGAATTCTACACATACTAGCTTATGTTTCTGCACATCTGAATAAATGGATAATCTGTACTCAATCCCAATGAGGCATTATTTGAGTTAAGCTTCACATACAGCTACTCTTCCTGCCTTCATTCTTACCTCTGGAGATGTACTGGAACCAAAAGATGTCAAAGGCTTGTTCCAAGCACTGACTGAAGGTGGCTGAGGTGGGCTAATGGGTCCCACTGACAATTAAAAAAAAACGAGTTAAGGAAAAAATCCAAAACAACCCAATGTTGCCAAATAGATTTGACTAAAGTTATCAATTTAAGAATTAAATTATAATTGTCTTAATTAAATAGGCCTTGGTTAAGAAACTGTTAACTGTTAATAATATGCTAACTACTTAGCTGATTTCAAGTGCAGCAATAGTCATGTTTGGAAACATGAGCAAGCCTGATACAAGCCAAATTCCTGATGGGAATGACAGCTGCTCATTCAGAGTGAAAGAAGAACATAACAATGGAAAATACTGAGTCACATCATACTGCAGAATCCTAACTTCAGAGGTTTTCATAGGTTGCAACACTGCACTTGGGAACACTGCCCTCTATTCCCTGTGCAAAATACATTTGCAGGTACAAATGAGAAGTGAACAGGCATCTGGCAATCAGTGTTCTCTAACTACAGCGACTGCTGCCTGCCCCAAATCCAAAAGCCACTACTTACATTTTTTGGAGATGTCATTTAGAACTGCTGTAGGAGGCACCTTGTTTTCCCATAATTCAGCTCCTAGACCGTTGTGAGCCTGGGTGTTCTGCAGAACTTTGCCTGCCACTGTGTATTCCGTGCTGGCTGCCCCTCCTGAAGCCTGGTTCTGTGGCTGAACAGAAGTCTGCGGCTGACCTGGAGTCTGAGCTGTACACGGAGGCTGCGCCTGAGCTTGAGCCTGCTGTGCAGCTGCGGCTGCTGCCTGCTGCTGCTGCTGCTTTTTGGCAAATCTGGGTGGGAGCTTGGAACTTTGACCTCGGCCTTTTTCGCTTGATCCTTTTTTGGTCCAAACCTGTAAGCAGAAGTCAATTTTATTCTTACAACTGATAGTCTGTATGGACAACCAATTGTACACTGTGTAGCAGCAAAAAGAAAATTGGTAAAGCTGGTATTAAAGTACTTTTCGTTAGGGGTATTTAACCACAGGAACGATATTTCTTATTGGTTTCCCTCTCGGAATCAGCTGATACACAAGCAATAGTACACATCTTTACCAGTGTTCCAAATCTGCAGTCCCAACTCCCTGACAATGCCTAATCTGGAAATACAGAATCCTAAAGTGACTAAGCAAAAATAAGTGCAATTTCCTAATTCTGAACAACTTAGTACAACCACCTAGTTATCTTTATAAGGTGAAACTACAGCTTCTCAGAAAGGCAGATTCTGCACACTTCACATCATTCTCAATACTCTAAGGGACTCTTTTCCACTATATATGCTGGTCCTGTACCTGCACCGTTTGTTCTTCCTTCTTTCTGCGCTCTTCATCTTGCAAGCGTTTTTGCTGCTTCTTAGACACCACTTCTGTGAAACCATCATCATTCAAGTTAGATTGGGAGTCTTCAACTACTGTCACTTCAGGGTGATCATCAATGATCACAACACCTACAGAAAAATGAAAGGTATAGATGCTGCTGTTTTAACAGCTTTAGAGGCAGCGCACCAGGCCAATACCTGCTTTAGACTGGAAGCAGCTTCCCCGCAGGTACAGATGGTGGCCCTGGTTAAAGGTAAGCTTCTGCTTGCCAAGTGCTCTGCTCTTGAGTTTGAAGACATGGAGTTAATCTTTAAGAACCGAAAAAATGGAGGTTCCTGTACCTGACTCTCCAGGAAATAACTAAAAACCCAGAATAATACCACAGCCTTCCTGAATATTAGCTATAAGCTTATCAGCGATAAGCCTTCGCTTATGAAGGTTAAGCAAATTATTAGAGTGGCAGAAAATGGTCTGAATGACAGAGTAAAGGCTAAATGGTAGAACAAAATTATTTTCTATACATAAAAACACACTATGAGATTTGCCACTTTTTAGAGGCACACAAGTTTATTAGATATGACAAAGGTCGCAATACTCAAGCACACAATTATTCTGGCATTTAAAAAAATCACCTTTCCTTTTTTGTAGTTTTTCAAACATCTAGCTCTGTACACAGGAACGCTAGCAGGATTACAAATTCTTGCTAGCATATTATCAGTACATACTTGCGTAATTATTAAGATCAAATTGAGATAAGGCATCCACTTTTTCCTTAGGCTTCTTTGGACCAGCCTTAGGTTCTTCTCTCTTTTTGCCACTCGCATCCTTGGTGCTCTTTTGCCCCGCAGCGGTAACACTTCCATCCTCCTGATGTGAAGAGTTGCTGTTGGTAGGATCGACACCTGGAACAGTTGCTGTCTGCTCTTCAAATGGCCTATATTAGAAAAAAACACTGGGAAAATTAATGACTAGCCACAGACAACACTGAGGAAGTATTCAGTTTAATTCAGGATAGCATTATAGGGCCACAAATATTTAGTATGAAAATTCTTGACAAGCTCTAGGCTTTTACTTTCAGCTCCTCAATGAGCAGAATCTTAACAGAAAAAAGCTATTCTGGGAACATATCAAATGCCTTGTTACTAAAAGAAATCACACTTAAAAAAGTGTGTAATTTTAAGGCAAACTATCACTCAGTCTATGTAATTAGAGACACCAAAACTCAACAAGTATGCACGGTTCAGAATTCCAGTCAAGCCTTCCACGGAAAAATCAAAACAGGAGCCTACAGTATGCAATATGAGCCAATATGAACAAGTTACCATATACTTGCTTCCCAGAAACTCTTGCTAAAAGCTATCTGAAGCTATAAGAAAGCAGAATTGCATAAAAATCACCTTTTGTGACTAGCCAAAGAAACTCTTAATAGTTTTAACTCAGAGGTTAGAGCATTGGCCACAAGTTTTTAATCCCAGGCAAAACCTGAACTTACAATACAGCAACCTACAAGCACAAGAGTCCTAGAATACAGGGTAGGCATCCAATGAAGACATCTTGTCCTGCCTCCCACTTATCAGACTACTGCACTGCAGCTACAAAACAGTGGGTGAATATTAACATTAATTATCAAGCTTCAATCAATTTTAGCACATCAAGAAACAAAACTTATGTCTCAATGGCAAGCATTTCTCACATGGCTTGTCTACATAAGGCAACTGACCCATGAATACAAAAAGTGAAATGCAATGCAGTAACCTACACATTAAGCTGCAAAACTGCTCACATTAACATTTCAACGTGCAACCAAGTCTTGAGAAACACAGCTAGACTCTCAAACTGCACTGCAGGTTTTTTTTTGAAATCAGGCTTTTTTGAACACTATGCTTACATATAAGAACACACTGCTCTTAGCTCCATGTTCCAAGTGTCTGCATATAAACAGAAAAAATAGAAAGTACACAGCCACAGGTACATGTGTTTGTCTTATTCTCTTCTCTAACAGTTATTTAAAATCTAAACTAACTACTACTGATTTTGAGTCAAAAGACGGGACTAAGACCATACATGTTTCCTAACAGAAGCTGTTACTCACCCTCTTTTTCCACTTCTGGGTGGAGGACCACTCCGCCTTTCACTCCTAGGCCCTGAGAAGTTCCTCCCTGGTTTAGCTGGCCCGTTGTTGCCACGTCGGTTTTGGCGGTCTATTCCAGGCCGCTGACTAGAAAAGCTTCTCTTGGCTATTTCCCTTTTTGGTGCTCCAGTGTTTTCTCCTGTCTTTGCAGCCACCTGTGCTGCCACATCTGCCGTTTTCTTCTCATCCCTTTCCCGCCTCTCATTGAAGTCGCTGCTTTCTGAGGCTGTTTCCCACTCTTCATTTGCCTGATCTGAAGAATTCTGGTTGGACAAGTCTGGTGTCTTACTTCCTGACACATCCAGAGCAGTGTTGGAGGGCTCATTAGCTGCATTACTAACAGTAGCACTTGCTGTTGGGCTGGTTACTGCCTCGTTTATCTTTGATGCAGCCTCTCTTTCTTTTAGGCGCCTGAAGCGTGGTGGCTTATCTTGCCTTGGAGGTCGAGCAGGCCTCTGTCTACGTGGCCTCTCTCTATTTGGATCAAACTTTCTCTCAAATTTTGGAGGTCTTTTATCAACTGGAATAGGACCATAATGTTCATTTCTTCTTGGAGGCTCCCCATCTTCTGGTTTAATGATCTCCGTTTGCCTAGGATTCCACTGATTCTCTCTGTAGGCTGGCCTCCTTATTGTAGATGGACGAGGAGGACGCCCAGCTGGATCCCTGCCACCACGTCTATACATTCCCCCTCTGCCTCGTCTAGAAGGCTCTCCTTTAGGAAGAAATCCTGGTTTGGGTTTGTTCTCATCATCTCTTACATATGTTTTTTCTAGGGATCTGTTGTCTACTCTGATGCTGTTTTCAGGTTTGAACGACAGGGGCTTTGGAGGCTTCTTGCCATCAACTCTCTCTTCTCTTTTTGGGTGCTTGCCTTTGATTAGGCTGTCTTTGTCTGAAAGTAGTGTGTCACTTGCGCTTTCATGAACTTCACTGTCAGAATCAGTCTCTGAACCATGCTGTCGCCGCCGTTTTGGGATTACTTCAAAGTCAGAACTCTCGCTACGAGTTTCACTCTCTTCTCTTTGTCTAACAGGCCCTGAAGGCACATGGTCTGATCTAGGCTTAGGATCTCTGTAGTGTGGGTACTCTCTATTGTGGCCTCTACTGCCCCGACCACGTCCTCCGTAGGAACCTCTATAGCTACGACCTCTAGAATAATACTCCCCACGACCTCTGCCTCTGTATCCCTGATCTGGGAACCAGTCTCTATCTCTAGCCTCTTTCCAGTACGTCCTAGGTGGTAAGCCAGGTTCTCTTTTTACTGGTCGGGTTTCTAAGCGTGGTTTCTCCACAACCTCCTTGCTAACTACCTTCTCAGTCTGCTTTTCTTCCTTCACTGCAGTAGCTGGCTGCTGCTGTGCTGCTGGTTGAGCAGGGGGCGGCTGCTGCACTGCAGGGGGAAGCTGTGGAGCAGCAGGCTGGGCAGCAGGTAGGTGATGCTGGACTGGAGGTGTGGGTGGCTGAACCGGAGCTTTAGCTGCAGTCTCAGTTTGACTGCTCTCCTGGCTTGCTGGTGCTGGAGCAGCATCCTGGGTTGTCTTCTTAGCCAGAGGAGCGCTGCTGGAGGGAGATGTCTCTGGCTCAGCCTGAGGCAGTGGCACTTGAGGTGCTTCCTTCTTGTCACCTTTTTCAGACTTGGTAGGTTTTTCGCTAGCTGCCTTCTCTCCTTCTTTCTCCTTCCTCTGCTCACGCTCTTTCCTTCATATCTCTAAGCACAGGCTTTTTAATAGGACCCGATCTTCTCACTGGTCTATCACCACCTTCGTCTCTCCTGCCATAACCAGGCCTAGGACCCCATCTTGTTTCAGACTTAGGTTTAAAAGTTTTTTCAGGTTTTGGTCCTTCTGATGTTCTGTTACTGATAAAAATTTCTTTTTTTGGCTTAATCTCAAGTCTCTCAATAGTCTCCTTTGTCTCAACAGATCTGTTATTTAATTTAGGGATATTTGTTGCTGTCTCATTCCTCTGGTCTTCTGACTTTACTGAGTGACTTGAACCATGGGAAATGCTTCTCTTTAGTGAAGAGTGACTCTCCCCCACAGGCACCAATTCTTCTGGAGAGCTACGTGTAACTTTCTCATTCACTCCTTCAAAATTAACTGCAGTGTTAGATGTGTCAGTCTGGAGAGGTTGTACATCTTCCAAAGGCCTGCTTGGGAACTTTTGTACCTCCACCTCCCCTGAATCTCTGAAAAAGTCTGTCTTTGGATGAGAGTCCAACTGGTTATGTTCTACAGGATAAGCAGTGGCAGGGACAGCAACTCGTTCTTGCTCCAAGTGTGCCTCAGACCTAAGAAGCAAGCAATTAAGAAGAAGGGTGGTGATGGACAATTTTACTCATAAATACAATTTTATTTCTCTGAAGGACTGACATCAGTTCAAGGAAATAAATATTTTTCATAGTGGCTGCTAGTTGTAGAGGTCAGTTTTATTCTACCCTAATTAAGAGTTCAGTGTCAAATGTATCATTAACTTTAGGAATCTATTGTTTTTTATGGCTATACATGCATTTTTAAATGGAGCCTCCAAGTTAGAAAGCCACTATCACAAGTATTACACAGACAGCGTTAGAGCAAAAAGCGTTTTTGAGTACTTTTAAGATATAGAGGAAGCCTTCCTGACCATCCATCATGCAGCAAAGGTCAAAAGTGACCGTCTTGTTTCATTCCACTTGTACTTAACACATCACTTTTGAAACCAAGATAGATCAGACAGAAGCTCCCCAAAACAGGGAGAGCAGATGGAGAACAGGAGTCTTCTAGAAAACTGAAAATTCAAAGTACTACAGCAATCACCACTCATCACATTAGGTTCCTAAACAAAGGTTAAAGTGTCTTCTACACTATGCTACAGAGCAGCCATACCTTTTGTTTTATACAACAGTGCCAAATATGCTGCATCCACCAGCCACAACTCCTTTTAAAGTTTTGTGTGAAGAGCAGCTATAACTCAGTCACTTTAAACTGTGGTTGGCAATGTAAGTTACACAGCCAAGCGTGTAAGTATGCATGGTTCAGAGAAGTAACATGTAGGAGTGCATAACTCAGGCTTACCTCAAGTTGTCAGGCTCTTCTAACACTTTGGGAGGAGAAGTAGACTGCTGAGGTTCTGCATGGGGGTACGGGTCTGACCCCCACATCATGCGGGGCTCTGACAAAGGAACAGTGTGTTCTCTTGCTGAGCGAGCTATATGTTCAAATGAATCCGAGCTAGCGGCTGATCCCTCTATCTGGTCTCTTCTCATCAGTGGTTTGGGAGGCATAATTCCTGCGACAGATTTAAGGTAACAACAGAAACCATTAGCAAAGAAACGTACCTCAAGACCAACAACACATATTGAGAGGTACTGAGAATGCTATTCTCTCTCTCTCTCCTCTAATCTCCTGGTTGAAACCAAATGTCTAGTCACTGCCAGCTGACCTCAGAATGACTGAGCCATATTCACCACAAGCACCCTATGTAATAACAACAGGAAAAGCGGTCTGCTTACTCCTCTAGGGGACAAACCAGGTCTGCAGACCTGTAAACATCTAGATGAAGTTTCTGCTGTAAGATCTGAATGGCAAAAGGCATGATGAGTGTACACACAGGTGGTTTTTCATACTCTATTAAAGATGCTGTGTTCCTCCATTTCTTCTCACATTTTAAAAGAAACGTTACAGTTTTCGCTGCCTTTGCTTAGCTTGCCATTTCCTCTGTTCATTCCTTGCACACATTCAGGATACCCATTCCTTTGCTCATCAGTTGGATAAATCTCCTATGTTATATGCCAGACTTGTATTACTTATGCACAATAGCTTTCCTAACTCCAAGACAGATGGTTATTCCACAAAGTAAGCATATTTTAGTGGCAAGAATCTGAAAACACAAGTTTAGTAAGATTCTAGAGGTGCTAATACTTAATATATAAAATTTTTTCATGTGTTTTTTTTGTTTAAATTGAGAAATCAAGTGCTAACATGTAATGAAACATGGTAAATACACCAACATGTGATAAGAAAGCTGTGATTTGACTTTTTAGTCAAAGATATACATTGACACGTGACTACCATTCCTCCAGTATTACTAAAATCTATTTTATCTCCAACAACAAAATACTGTAGTTTCATTTAAAAAACCCCAAACATACCCAATTTCTGTTACTAAATATAGCA